TGCAGGTCACTTGCACTTACTTTTTTTTTTTTTTTGAGACGAGTCTCGCTCTGTTGCCCCAGCTAGAGTGCGGTGGTGTCATCATAGCTTACAGCAACTTCAAGTTCCTGGGCTCAAGCAATCTTCCTGCCTCAGCCTCCTGAGTAGCTGGGACTATAGGTATGCACCACCATGCCCAGCTAATTTTTTGTATTTTTCAGTAGAGACGGGATCTTTGGCTTGCTCAGGCTGGTCTTGAACTCCTGAGCTCAAGCGATCCTCCAGCCTTGGCCTCCCAGAGTGCTAGGGTTACGTGAGCCACTGCACCTGGCCAGGCATCTTTTTTTAAATGAAAGAATAGAAAATATCAGAGTATACTGTACGAAGTATTACTTTATGAAACTTTTGTTATATATACACATGTAGAGTTGCATATGTATGTATGTCTCTACTGGGTTGCAATGCATTTCTATCAGCCAAATAAAATTTTAAGAAACACTGAGAGTCACTTCAGATCTAAAATGACATGATTTGAAAGGGAAGACCTCAAAGGGGAGCCAACTGTTAGACAGAGTGGAACACTGCCCTCTGGTGGAAAAAAAAGGCAGCAACAGGCTACAGGTGCCAACAGGACTAGGGTTATAAGAAACCGTCTATTTAATAATTAGTGTCCTGCATTATTGGTAAGATTCCTTGTGCATCTTTAGGCTTTCAAAGGTCACAATACTAGCTTTAGTCACAGCAGCATCACAGTTCATGGTAGCTTTGGAGGTTGCCATTGAAGTCATATCTGCAAACAATTGTGAGAGCATGCAGCCTAGATCACACATGGCCTGAAATCCATCTGGGGAGTAGAAGTTAAGCAACTCAGAACAGAATAAATAAGGGTAAATGAGAGCGTTATTGTGTGTGGGTTACATCTCAAAAAGCTAACCCAAACAAATACATAAATAATTTAAGAATCATTTTTCTAAAAGGCTAGTGTCAATTTAATATCACTTTATTTTTCTAGTGAATAAGGCTTTAATTTCCATTCAAAGGCAAGAAACTCACAAAAACATAAAAATTATTTCTTACACAAGGTGCCCCAACAGATGATTTTGAAAATATCCTCATAGTATGTATATGACTAAGTGGCAAATAAGGGTTCCCCACAAGTTCCATGAGTTCATAGGTGGCCCATGAGATGGGAAAATTCTTTGGACAGGTAGAAAGGAAACAGAGCAACTTCAGGCAGGACTGCGAAAAGGGCAGGGCTGTTTGAACTCCACTCGTCTAGGGGAAGGAGTTCAGAGGAGCAGGAGACAAAGCTGGCGAGAAATCATGGTGGCAGACAACGGAATCTGGCCTTTGTCTCGCACATGGTGGGGCATCATCTCTGTCCCCAATCAACCTCAGAGTCCAGCCCAAATATCTCCCTTCCACCCATCTACAAACATTACCAAGCACCTACTATGTGCTGGGTAATCTCAGGGGGAAGCACACAGATGTGGCTACAACCCACATGAAGCTTCATCTACCCTGGAAGAAACCCAGGGGCTGACACAGTGAGGGGGCTAGGTGGGGAAGCAGGTGTCAGAGCAGGAAGCTGCAGCAGAAATAAATGGCATGGAACCCAGGCCTGGGGTCGAGGGCAAGTTTCCCACAGAAAGAAACACCCCAAACTGTGCTTCTCAAGCTTGGCCGCTCATCAGAATCACCTGTGCAAGCTTTTAAAAAGAGCAAAGTTGGGCCTTACCCCCAGACATTCAGGTTTTCATTGGTCTTTGGAGGAACCCAGGCATTGGTATTTCTTAAAGCTGCCCAGGTGCTGTAACGTGCAGCCAGGGTTGGGAACTGCTGGCCTCAGCGAAGGCCTAGGACGAGGAGGAGTTAGCCCAGGGGGAAGGCAACCGATGGAGAAAACCGCGTGTGAGGCCCGGGAGGGAGAGGGCCGGAGGCAGCACGGAAGCAGCCACAGAGCCTCGAGTCAGATAAAACGTGGCAGCTGAGCCAGAGGAGGCGGCAGGGGCCAGAACGAGTGAGCCCTCAAGTTCAGGTTCAAGGGCTTGGACTTTATGCCGAGAGCCATGGAGAACAACTGAAATGAAAGAATGGTGGGATCAGATGTGTTTTCCAGTGTTCAGCACTCGGGCCTTTTCCTGAGGGGGCAAAAAGGGCAGCAGCGACGTGGGCCATGGAGGTGACGGTCAGGCCGGCAGTGGGCAGGAGGAAGACCCACAGGTGGCCCGTAGATGCGGGGCGCTGGGGCTAACCTGAAGAGGCTTCCGCTAGCCTCACAGGGAAAATCTGAGCATCAAAAAGAGGGAGTGCGAAAGACTTAAGAGACATATCAAACAAAAACCCACTACTACATGGATAGTAACAACCATGAGTTCATAATACACAGAAGAAAAAATTCATCGGTTACCCTTGGAGACTGCTACAGTGCCGACTCACTACTCTGAAAAGTGACAAAGACAGAGACAGAGCCAAGCAGTTTACTTCCCCTCCACATAAAAACTGTATTTCAGGGTAACCAAAGAGTGGACAATAGAAAATTCTTCACAGGATCCCAGCTAATAAATGCAGAGGAATAACAGAATCTGAAAAACATCCTTTTCTAATACTTAGTGAAACGGATTTAAGCTATAATCATCAATAGATGCTAAAACCATTAGCAAGATTGATGGAAATTTTATAAAGAAGGATCGGGCAGATTCCATGTGATCCCTCTGCTCTATTTCAGCCTTTGTAGAGGAGGAACAACCAGACATTCTCTCTCACGTTACGATTCAGATACGGTCCCACAAGGAAGTGGTCCTCATTATTGAACCTAAATCACAATTAAACCTGAATTTAACAATAACAAAGCAGCAATAAGCCAACTCTAAAATGTGGGACATTCTAAAAGTTCAATGATCCAGGTCAGTTGTTCCAACAAATCAACGGTATTAAAAGAAAGGAAGGGGCCGGGCATGGTGGCTCATGCCTGTAATCCTAGCACTCTGGGAGGCTAAGGTGGGTGGATCGCTCAAGGTCAGGAGTTCAAGACCAGCCTGAGCAAGAGTGAGACCCTGTCTCTACTAAAAATAGAAAGAAATTAGCTGGACAACTAAAAATATATAGAAAAAATTAGCCAGGCATGGTGGCGCATACCTGTAGTCCCAGATACTCGGGAGGCTGAGGCAGAAGGATCCCTTGAGCCCAGAAGTTTGAGGTTGCTGTGAGCTAGGCTGACACCACGGCACTCTAGCCTGGGCAACAGAGTCAAACTCTGTCTCAAAAAAATAAATAAATAAATAAAAGAAAGGGATTATTTTTAGAAAATGAAAGAGAACTTAAGTGGAATAACGAACTAATGCAATGTGTAAACCTGGTTTGGATCCCGATTCTAACAAACTGTAAAAACACACTGAGATAGGAAAAATATGAACATAGACCGGGCATTAGATAGTATTAAAAGAATTACTGTCAATTCCATTAGATACAACAATTGCATGGTGATTATACAAAAGAAAAAAAATGTCCTCATCAGTTAGTGATAGATACAGAAACCTTTATAGGGGGAAGGACATGATGTCTGAGATTTGCCTTGAAATACTAGAGACCAAACAGAAAAAGAGCAAACAAAAAAGGTAGATGGCATGTATAGCAAAATGGATCTCTGTTGAAGTTAGGAGGTGGGGACATGTGTATTCTGTCTGTACTTTTGGAAAATTCCATAATAAAAAGTTTTTTAAAAAGGCATTTACCTCCCTCCACAATTTCCTCCATGATGTATTTACAAAATACATTTTTAAAAACTGCAACACTGTTTAAACCAAATTGCACTTCGACATAGTAAGTCTTATCACAGGAGAAAAAAATATGTTCACAAAGACTTATAAAAAAT